ACGTGAGGAGAGAAAAAAGAGAGGAAAACCCTGGGCAGAATAACGCCTACCCTCTCTCGAGCATGGACGCGTGTCGCGCGATTAAGCGTTCACCCTTGTCACCATCTGACGTGGACGTATGCGTCATGTAAATTTAGAATTCCACGACAATGAGACCATCGTCCCACCGCGATTCAACCAGTGCCTCTGAATGGAATATTAAGGGGGATGGAGAATTCTGCCGTCCTTCCTTCCCGTCCAGCAGCAGAGGTTCTTTCCGAGGAAGGTAAAGCAGCTCCGGGAGTATTCGACGTTGGAAACTTTGCTTAATTGAAATCGACGAGACCGCCGCGGAAGAAGAATTCTTGTGCTCACAGAGATTTTTCCTCCATCACCTTGTGTTTGGACATCTTACAACGCTTCAATCGAACTTCCCGCTGCTCTTGTTCGAAGCGACCACTCGAATTCTCGATTGTTCTTGCTTTGTGTACGCGTGAGATTCGATGGGGATGGAAAAGGAACGATATTCAGCGTTTGTAACGATGTAGAAAGGTGTTTTGAGGGGATATTCTACATTGAAGTGTCTGGAAATAGGTGAAGTTTGAGAATTTTTTTAGTACGTAAGTGCTGAATGAAAAGTTTCAATTTTTTCTGGGGATGTGAGCGTAACTTTCAGCGTTTTTCTCCTATTTTTAGAAAGTAGAAATGTTACTAAATAGAGGAGTTATTCGTTAATTGCGGAACTCGGTAATTGATGCTCTAGCAGTAACTTTTCTACCATTTTTACACTTTACAAAATTGCAGAAGACAGCTGAAAGTTACATTGATATCCTCTGAAAATTTGGTAGTTACCTGTGGAAAGAATTCCCAAATCGTTCCTCTCTTTTACACGACTCGAGATGGTACATTCTCTCGATAAATAAGGCGAGTATTTTTACAGTTACGCGAGACGAAGGAACACGATTAAAGCGAGAATGAAGAAAGTTCGGCCGGAATTGTAAAAGAAGAAATGCTCGAATGCAACTGTCGAATAAAAACACGCGATTACAGGTAAATTCCTTCTTCTTACGGACACGCCGCGTAGAAGGAATTCGTTCGCCACTGGTCCTTCTCTCTCTCGAACGACCCAGTTTTATACAGATTTGATACCGCGATTCTCTCCACCTCCTCCATCCTCCTTTTCTCCCCTTCGGGAACTTCATAACAATTTTCCAACGAGGAACAGTTAAGTTGGCCCGAACGGAACACCGAGACACCTTGGCCCCACTCGTTTAAGCGTGCAAAACGATAACGTTGTAGGCTAGTTAAGGTCGATTTGGTCGTTTACCCGGCCGGTTCCTGCACCGGAATGCTAATTCGACCAGCCTCGTCCCCTTGATCTTGTCCGTATTTCTCTCTCTCTTGGCACAACCCAATTTCGCGGCTCGCGATTACCGCTGTTTCGAACCTGGTTTTTCCACGCGTTAAGGAGATCGTTACCAATTAGCGGTGTCATTCCACAGCCGTTCCGGTAATTCGATTAGCGGCAACGTCCATGGGAATGTCGCCGCGAAATGATCGCGAGATTTTCCGGTTCTCGGTGGAGAATCGGCGGTGGGAAAATTGGCGAAGGTTTTAGGAAGTTTCTAACGTGGTTTCGTTGTCGAAAGGGAAACTGTTGTTCGGTGATTCTTCTACCTGATGGAATCTTTTTGTGAGATTGTCATCGCGTGCTTCGGAGTGATATCAAAATTTGGAATTTTCAAGATTTTCTGAGATATAAATTCTAGAGCTAGATCACTGAATTCCAGAGTTAAAAAAATGTCCACTTTTTGGAATCTTTCAAATTGCTTAAGAATCGCGAGTTTTCCATCGGTAAAGTAAAATTTAGTGCAATTTAGAACTCTCGAAGTTTTCTAAGTTATAAATTTTAGAGCTAGATCTCTGAATTCTATAGCAAAAAAATGTCCACTTTTTGGAATCTTTCAAATTTCTTAAGAATCGTGAGATTGTCATCGGTAAAATAAAATTCAACAAAATTTAAGACTCTCCAGATTTACCTGAGTTATAAATTTTAGAGCTAGATCTCTGAATTCTATAGCAAAAAAATGTCCACTTTTTGGAATCTTTCAAATTTCTTAAGAATCGTGAGATTGTCATCGGTAAAATAAAATTCAACAAAATTTAAGACTCTCCAGATTTACCTGAGTTATAAATTTTAGAGCTAGATCTCTGAATTCTATAGCAAAAAAATGTCCACTTTTTGGAATCTTTCAAATTTCTTAAGAATCGTGAGATTGTCATCGGTAAAATAAAATTCAACAAAATTTAAGACTCTCCAGATTTACCTGAGTTATAAATTCTAGAGCTAGATCTCTAAATTCCTCCGTAAAAAAAAATGTCCACTCACTGGAACCTTTCAAATCTTTCAAGAATCGCGAGTTTGTCGTCAGCGACCAAAAAATTCGTAAAAATTTCAAAATTCCACAGCTGAATAAAGAAAAAGCTACCTGTATCTTAAGATTATCAGTCTTGACATAGTTGATCGCCCTGCCGATGTTCAATCGAAGGCTCTCCTCTGGCAGCGTGTGCTCTTCCCTCGATTTGAAGCAGTTCGAACAGAGTTCCTTCTTCCAGGCGTTCTGCACGAAGCGGTTGCATTGTGTGGACATCGTTGCTTCACTGCAGCGACAGCGAAAGTCCCGTTACATCATCACCCTGAAAGGAAAGAGGCGAAATAGTAATCGTCCAATTCTTAGCCCGTAACAGGCGACCGGTGAACGGCGGAGTTCCATTGCTGCACGTGTGCAACACACGTCGCATGAGAAAACCGCTCCTCCTACACGCCCGCACACTACACCAAGGGGAGACATTACTCCAGATATACACGGTGTCCGTGTTAGAGAGAAGACTGACCGAAACTAACGCTAAGCTACCAAGATACCCAAGTGAACTTGCGCCATTCGCTTTAATTAGCGAATTACTCGGAACTACCGGTGAACAAAAGTGCATAGTTTGTAACGGGATTCAGTGTGGAACTGTGGTTACACGCAATTGCTGTGAATTCGCTACTCGACCGTCCTCTCGATGCTCCAATCCCCTCGGAGAATTGCTCGTTTCTCACTCATTTTCTCAGATATTGGGCAGACTTTAAATGGCACACCCTGGAGTGCTTGGATGTTTTTTTTTTTATTTTCTTAACCACTTAAAAATTTTCTATAGAGGTGCAATATTCTTCACTTTGCATTTTGCGTTACTCTTTCTATCACGTAAAAAACGTAAGTTACAGTGTCATAATTTGCTCGATTCTGGGGCCATTGGATATTTTCTTAATTTTCTATACAAGTGCAATATTTTTCACTTTGCATATTGCGTTATCCTTTCTATTACGCCAGAAACGTGAGTTACAGCATTGTAAATAACGAGAAATTCATTTCGAGCCAAAAAAGGCAAAATTAATCACTTTTGGCACATCAAGCTGACCAAAATGTGAGAATTAAAAAATTAATTTTATCTTAATTAAATTTTCAAACTTCATTATCGACACCGTGTCACTAGAACACATCAGCTTCACTTTATCTCCCCCACCAAGTCCCCCACGCAGAGCAATCTTTCCACAGCTACTTTTTACGAAATATTAATCACGCGAAAAAATCGCACGACACGTAAGTAGAGTACAAAGGAGCTGGTAAATTTCGAAAGAGAGAGTAGCTTGCAGTCGAAACGCAATCTCGCGATGCACCTCGAGGGTGGGATGAAAAGATAATTAACCGTGGCGTTCTTTTTGCACCGCATACGTTTGCCGGTGTTCGGTGAAGTTTAATGAAGAGCCCCGGCTATAAATTGCCCGATGAAACGATGCTTTATTGTTAACGCGCGCGCTCCGGCACAGAGAGCCCGGCTTCTCTTTCCATCCCGTTGCAACAAACTTTGATCGGAGAATGAGTTGAATAAATTATCCAACGGTCCCCTCTAGAACGCGAGAACCAGGAACGAGTTTAATCTTGAATATTCTACGAGCTTCTTACACGCGTTGCTTCATTTTCCAAAAGATACAGCCTCTCTGCTTCTCGTTAACCACCTAACCGCATCTTCTTCTTACTCTCTCCCTTTCTTCCTTCCAATTTTTTACAGCTTTCGTTCTTCCGTCAGACTC